CTGGGTCCCGAGTATTCTACTCAACTCTTAACCATCTGATTCTGATTACACCTTAGATATTACACTGTCTGACCACAGGATGATCACATTTGAGACTGAATCCAAACAGCCCGTTGCTCTCCTGAAAAGAAATCCAAGGAACACTGATTGGAAACTTTACAGGGAGCGACTGGAAAGTCCAATTACCCATGGGGAGGATAGGCGTTATTCAAGAAACTATAAAGATAAAGAGGCCAGCCTCCTTGAGACTGCCGTTTTGGCAGCATATGAGGAGGCTTGCCCTTTGGTCTTCCTGCTTCATCTTGAATTCGGTTTTTCTGGTCTCTGGATTTGAGATTCTTGTAAATTTGGCATCCTTTGTAGTTGGCCGGGTCTCCCTCCAGGCATAGTGCACACATTGCAGGATCTTGTATCGGTTTTGTGCACTCCACTGATTTGTGCTGTTTACCGCGGCAGATGGTGAAAATAAGTCTTCGTGTGGCCATATGCACGATTTGTCTCTTGTGGTATGGTTTCTCTACTTTCACCATTGTGTAATATAATCTTGTGATATTTTATATTTTCTCAATACCGGGCGATGGATCTAGATCCACGAAAAATAAAGGTAGTGGAACTTTATTTTTTACTTCAGGCTGCTCCTTATTCTCCTTCAGAACGTTGGTTACCTGACGTACTTTGAAACCAAGCTGGTACATAAGAAAATTCGCATTCGTTTCTGAGAGGTACATTACTATTATTCGGTAGGTTTCAGCAGTATCTGGTGTTATTTTTGTATTGTTGGTCCTGTTAAGACATGAATAACTGCCAGAGCAGATTTGATTTAGTTGGGTGCAGAACAACTGGAAATTTTTGATATTTTTCACAAATATCGGAGGAGGCCTTGGTTCTGTGGGTATAGCTGCAGACTGCATTACCTCTCGGTCATTTTGAAGCACATGGTAGGGGTTTGGAGTAAAGAAAGGAGATTCTTCGATCGTTTCTTGTGAAGAAGTTCCTGGTTGTGGCTGAAGTTCTGGTTCTGAAGTGTTCACTTTCGTTGTAGGAGATGTTTCTCGTAGGCAGCGACGAGTTCTTTGTTTGGCTGGTGAGCTAACTCCGTCTGACCGAGTCCTCTTGGACACCTTATTGGACATCACTTGGTGAGTATACCGCATACCATAAGAGAAGAAAGGAAAAAAAAAATTATCAAACAACAGTATCAACTGCTCTGATGTACACGTGAAATGTATTCAATGAAAAAATCAGAGAGATTCCGCTGAAAAATAGGCAAATACTGAGAGACCAGTTGAGAGCACAACCTTCCAATCAGCTGATCCACTGCCTTTTGTATAGGTATGTGAGAAATATTATTCTTTTTTGGGAAGTAGTCTAAGGATTTGGGGAGTAAGGAGATCGTGTCCAGGGGATTTTCGAGGTTTTAGGTTGCTTATAAGGAATTTAATCTTAGAGGGATTGACCGCTTTAGGAGGCAAGGAGAGAGGAATCGGAAAAGAGAGGAACTTCTGCAGTGTGGTTAGGATGGAGTTCGGTGTGGGGAGTGAAAGTGTTGGATAGGTGTTTGGGAAATTCTTCATCTCTAGTCTCATCTGACGAAGCCCAGGTTCCATCATCGCATCGGAGGGGGTGGTATTTAAGAATTTTTTTTTGTCAATTTCCAGAAGGAATTGTCATCGGTAGATAGGGAAGAAAGGTAGAAATTGCACGATTGGAATCTAAATGAACCTGGTTCTTTTTTTGACCTTTTTGGAATAATAATTGTATAATTTCCGATCATCAGGATCCCTGGTTCTTTGCCAGAGGGTCCTAGATTGGCCTTTGGATTTAATAATGTCGGCAAAGTCTCGGGGCAAAGGATTCTTTTTACGGTATGTTTTAGAAGGGAGTGGTGAGGATGCAGTCCAGACTGCTTCTTGGATCAAGGTGGTGAAGGAACTCACTGCATTTTTTAGGTCTTGGGGGATTTTTAGGGATTCTCTGAGGTCTTTTGCTTCTGTTATTGTTTGATGGAAAAGGTTCCTGTTGACTGGGCCTCTGATGAATGGGGGAGGAGATAATCTATGGATAGGAGATGCGGAAAGGGTTAGGTTTAGCGGACTGTGGTCTAAGTAAAGGTAATCGAACCGTAAAACTGAGTTTAGCGGCCCTAGACCTTTGTGAATTAAGAAGTCAAGGAGGTCAGGATTACGGTTAGGATCGGTTTGCCAGTATGTAGAAGTATCAAGAGAAAGGATGTTGCTATTGTGGGAATTAAGTGCAGACAGCAATGTTCGGCAGCGAGAATTCGTATTTTGAGAACTAGAGAAGGGGATGGAGGATGAGAGAAGGGTTGTGTAATCAGTAATAAGTTTTTTAATGGTGTTGGAGGGGAAATTATTAGAAAGTAGTATCTGTTGGATATGCTTTGTGTTCGTTTCATGTAGGCAAGGATTAGATAGGGAAAAGCACCGGTGAATAAGGTTTTTGGCAATGTTGAGTTTTCGTTGAAAGGGGTGTTGAGAATAGCAGTTAAGTAATCTGCCAGAGTATATCGGTTTTGTGCACAGGCGGATCTACGGGAGGGGGGAGGGGGCTTTCGGGCTGAAGCTCCCTCCCCCAAAATGGTAAAATATAACCACGTTTTATAGAAAAAAATATTTAAAACTATCTCCTAAATTATTATTGTTCGTGAGATTACATTTAATAGGACTTCAAGAATAACTAAGACACAATTTCATATGTGTAGTTAGTTTCTTTCTTTTTCTTTTTCAAATTAATTATCGTTATATATATGAAAAAAAAAATCCTTCGGGCTGAAGCCCCCCCCCCAAAATTAAATCCTGGATCCGCTTTGTGTACCAGTCTGTGAATAAAGTATTGTTGAAGTATCTTTGAATGAGAAGATCGAGGAAAGGGAGGGAATTGCTTTTTTCATATTGGACTGTAAAACCAAGGCGGGATGATAAGAGTTAAAGGCGGAAAGGATGTCAAGAATAGTATCAGTGTTGAGAATAAGAAGATCATCAACGCATTTTTTGATAAGGAATGTCATTTGGAAACTGACGAGCTATGGTGTTTAAGAGGTCATTTAGGACGATGTTTGATAAGGTGTGAGGGGGTCATCCATAGCTAGTCCTGCAATTAGGTTGTAAAACTGTCCACAGAACATGAGATTTACAGCAGGATTGTAGGAATTCAATAAATGAGGAACAGTTGAGGGAGGTATGAGACTCTAAGAAACGGATTTCTTCCATATGAGAATCTATTTATATGGTTTCATATCAGGGTCTATTTTTATATTTTTGGAGCCATAGTTTCTGAAAATTGTTCCTATTTTCAGATTACGCCACTGTGTTATAACTTATTTGAGTTTTTCGGAGGTTTATTTAATACAGTTAGGTCATCATGGTTATCAGAAAAGAAGGTATTGGTCTCAAGATCATTTGACAGTCATGCATGGTGATCATATTCATGATTATTTTTGATCTCGTGTATGCTAATTTTATCTTTTACACTTAAAATATGTTATAGGGTTTCGTGAAAACTCTTCCATCTAGATTAAACTGGCCTTTCAAGGCTTTTACCTGATATTTCTTATATTTTTTCCGATCTGTTTTCTGCATGTTTGACCGAAAGACAGTGGCATAGTCTTAAAAATTAAATCATTTCCAAAATTTACAGCTCTTAAAACATTAATAAAAACTCGATAAACTTAAATAAGTCGAAAAGAAGTGACAAAATCATAAAATGGACACCATTTTCAAAAAATGCTGTTCCGAAAACATATAAATAGTTATTCATATGAAAGAAATCCGAAAAATTCAAATAAGTCAAAACTCAGTGGCGTAATCTCAAAATGGACATCGTTAAAACAAATTACGGTTCCGAAAACATATAAATAGACCCTGATATGGAAGGAATCCGAAAAACTCAAATAAGTCAAAACGCAATGGCGTAATCTCAAAATTGACACCATTTTCTAATATTAAGATTCCGAATACATATAAATAGACCTTTACATGAAGGAAACCCAAAACATTCAAATGAATCAAAATGCAGTGGCATAATATCAAAATGAACACCGTTTTCAAAAACTACGGCTCCGAAAACATAGAAATTGACCCTCATATGAAAGAAATCCGAAAAACTCAAATAAGTCAAAACGCAGTGGCCTAATCTGAAAATGGAGATAATCAAGTTTTTATCATTTTTATATAGTATTTTATATATAAAATCATCATTTTTATTAGTATTTGTATATAGTATTTTATCAAGTTTAAAATCAAGTTTTTAAAACATATTATAAAACTGTTTATGAAAACTTTAAATAGATGTATACGTATATTGTTGGAAATAATATAATATAAAGTTGGAAATTGTTATTAGTAGTGAGTTAAACAATTAATAGTTTATATTTAACATTATTTATGTAATTAGAACAATAGCACATCTATTAATATAATTTATATATTTAACTATGGGCATATGCGAATTGAAACTATAATTTATAATAAGCCGTGAGTAAAGTACTCGAAGTGTCGCAGGTTAGCTATTTGAGTAAAATACTCAAAGTTGGACAGTTCGACATTTGAGTTAAATTATATTAAAGATTACTTAATTACACATTGGTACATCGAGTTAAATCGAAATCTTTTGAGCCATTTTACGGTAGATACGTTTTGCGGGACTTGGTTATTTGGACTTAAGAGACCTCATGTAGTTTCGTTGAAAACTGAGACTAGAAAATGTTCACTATCACAATACTTTATCTTAATACAATATATATATATATATATATATATTGAAGTAATTAAGTTGAAAGTAAAAATATATATAGTTATTCTAATATGTTTTTAGTGATGAATTGAATTTTACTATATTAAAATCTCAATTTTTTAAAAGTAAAACAGTTTAACAAAATACTTTTAAACAACTCTTCTATGACTGGAGGATTGAAAAATTGCTAACCTGACAAATTTAAAAACTTAAAATTGTTTTGATTAGTATACATATTATTTCCACAGCTCACAAATAGGACACTGCAATAGCCGAGAAGCATTTAAAAATCAACAGTGTTTACAACGAGCTATGCAAGAAGCACAGAAGTTAGTAACAAGAAGCCCCATTGCAACACCACGCTCTCCATCTCCAGCTAACGTTTCATTACCAGAAACCACTGGTGCTTCAATTATGGAACTTCTTCATGACATTTCTCGTGAAACTCAAGCTGCTGAACATCAAAACCAATCAGGTAAATATCATTATAGATTCTTATGTATTAATGTATGTATGCATAGAAAGTTTTCTACAAGAGATGTTTATTTTTGTCTTCACTCTTTAAACATTTTGGATTCTAATCAAGAGCTCAGAATTTTCTGAATCTTACCCAGTAGAGGCTAGTGTCTCACAAGGAATTGACTTGGGTTTTATGTAAATTATATAGTATCCGAACTCCGCATTGCGGCGATTAGATTTTTTTTATTATTTATTTATTCAGAATTTACTAAATGTATTTCTTTAATACAGTTGTAAATATCATTAAGAAATAAATATATATATATATATATATATTTATTCAGAAATATTACAATCTCTAGAACAATCTAGAACTACGAGCCAAGCCTTTCTCCCCACTCACGGAAGGAAAGGCAGGACTCTAGATCACAGCGCCTCGCACTCAGCAGCATTACTGGTATTAAGGACCAGGAGAGGCTGAGCAGAGACGCTATAATCACACATACTTGGCTTGATTGGAGGATCTGGCCAATGCTAAAACTCCAATATATGTTTATTCACAGAAGGTCTCTGGGCCACTGCCGCTTTAACCTTCGAGGAGGATTGTAATGATGGGAGGTGCTGGATAGTGATTGTACAAGGGGATTTTGATGATACGTAATTTTCTGGTGAAATTTTTCTGGTATAAGGTCTAGGACATATGGGATATTAAGGTCATGGTGTTGAGTTTTGTTAGTTACATAGAATGGAGCATTAACTATTGTTCGAAGGACTTTAGATTGAAAGAATTGGATGCGTTTGATGTTAGAAAATTTTGCTGTCCCCCCTCCCCACAGTTCAAGTCCGTATGTCCGAATAGGTTTCAGGATTGTCTTAGATCGGTCTAAATGAAAGCCAAGATACCGGACTACGTCTGAAAAAGGAAGCTGGATGGAATTAAAGTGTACTGGTATACAGAAATTGCATCGAAGTGTAAAGGTAATATGTTGGCATTTGGATTCATTAACTTTAATGAGCCAGTTATCACACCAGTCCTCAACCAAGGAGAGGTACCTTTGCAGATTTAAGGATGCTATTTCGGGATCAGAGTTGGATGATAAAATTGCGGTGTCGTCAGCTAATATTACAAAGAAGAGATCGTGATGAACAGGGATGTCAGCAGTAAAGAGGATGTAAAGAGCGGACCCAAGACGCTGCCTTCGAAAACACGGGCTTTAACGGGATAGATATTGGAAAATTCTGTTCCACAGCAAACTCGAAAGAGAGGTAGGATCAGAGGGGAAAATGTTGGGGATTTAGTGCAGACTGCAATGTTCGGCCACGAGAAATTGGGGTTCTAGATCCCCATTGTTGGTGCTTGGCATTTAAGTCTGCACACAAGATGAAGTAATGTCCTAAGGATTCAAGGAGAGAACTGAATCGGGCACTGGGAATGAATCGATTAGGAGGGCAATAAGCTGATGTAAGGGTAAATTGAAAGGAGATGTTTTTTATTACAATAGCGGTGGATTGTAGGAAATCTTGTATAGGTAATAGGAGTAATTGATGGGAGAGGGATTAGTGTAATGAATGACAGCAGTACCGGCATGTGTTCTTCGGTCAGGGTGGTGAGTACGATATATTAGGTATTTTGGTAATTTGAAGTGCTGTTTAGTGGTTAATTGAGGTTCAGTAATTAGTGCCACGTCAATGTTCATGTCAAGCAATAATGCAGATAGTTCGTCTGTATGGTTTCTAACACCATTTGCATTCCAAAGGAGAATGGATATATGTTTATTAGAAGTCATTTAAGGATCTTTTGGGGGAGGAATAAAATGTGATACAAGATTGGTGAGAAGGGATCAAAGGAGTAAAAGAGATCTGAATTCAGAGAGGAAAGATGTAAGTAAACTAGTGAGGTTTGTGGTATTTGATGAAGGGGGAGGAATTTGGTGTTTATAGAATTGTTAAGGATTAGGTGAAGTTTGAGTAGTATTATGCTCAGGATGGAGTTGATAATTTGAGGTGTATTATGTTGTTGTGGCAGGGTCTCACAATTAATGATTCCGTTCTTGCCTCTTAATAAATGTGCGAAAGACACAGTTGGGCCAAATATTTTTGAAGTTCACTTTGTAGTTCACTGGATGTCCTTCAAGGCACAAACTACAAACTGCAGGATTTCGTTTCTATTTTGTGCACTCACCGGATTTGTGCTGCTCTCCACATTTCACACAACGATCCAAATGATGGCAGTAAGTCTTGGTGTGGCTATATACCTGGTAATTATGGCATTGGACGATTTCTCTCTTAGGCTGGCTTCTATATTATCACACTTGTATAGTACATTCTTCTTATCTCGTATATTTTTTCGATTCCTCGTGTTGGATCCAAATCTACGAAAAATGATAAAAGGAACTTTTACTCCTGGCTGTTCTTTACTCTCTTTCAGAACATTTGTAATCTGGAGCTCTATAAAACTTAAATTTTTCAGTTCTTCTTCTATTGCTTCGGTTAGTGTTGAGGAGTGTAGAATTCTTATAACTACTCTTAATCTTGCCGTAATTGATATGTATGAAAATCAGCTTTGGTTTCTGTTATATGTTTCGCAATATGTCTATAGGTTTCAGCTGTAACTGGAGAAATTTTAGTGTTCTTTGTTCTGCTTAGACATGCGTAGCTTCCAGAGCCTGTTATTTTGTTCAGTTGAGAGCATAGCAACTGAAATTTTGTTATGTTTTTAACGAATATCGGAGGAGGTCTGGGGTCTTTTGGTATCGGCGCCGACTCCATCACCTCTCTATCATTCTGAAGCACCTGATAAGGGTTGAGAATAAAAAATGGAGATTCTTCAGTTGTCTCTTGTGAAGATGTACCTGGTTGATGCTGAGGATCTTCAATTGTTTCTTTTGATGATGTATCTCTACCATAATGAAATATATCTATTTGTAATTTTTCAAAAGGTTTTTCCAACATGATAATTAGCTATAATTTCTTTTTGTTCTTCAGATGTGTGTCTAAATTTAAATTTTTATATCGCTTTAGTTTAATAGTAAGGAAATTATTAGTAATAATATTTTAAGATTTTCAAATATGTTATTGTATTCTTCAATAAGTGATCCTTCTCGATTACAATAAATACCATACGTTGTTTTAGGCTACAGGTAATGAACGCATAAAGTTTTCATTTTTTGGATGTGTGAAGAATTTGGTATATAGAACGTTAGTCTAGTTTGATTAAATAGTTTTTGTATTAGAAGTGATTTATTTCCGCGTTCTAAAATAATTTGGTTTTGTTCTATATTTATTATTTTATCATAAACATTTCGATCTTAATAATTTTGAATTGGGTTCTTTAATATTATGTAGCCATTGTAGTGGTTTATTATCTGTATGTATTATAAATTTATTGCCATATAAGTAAGGTCGAAAGTGTTTGCCCAAACAATTGCAAGAAATTCTTTATCAATAGTTGATAGATTTTCTTCATGTTTATTTAATGTTAGTATATGTTATTGACATATACTATTGGTAAATCTTTATTATTAAAATTTTGAGATAGTACTGCACCGAGATCAAAGTAGAAAGCGTCAGTTGTTAGAATAAATTGTTAGTCAAAATTTGGTAGTTGAAGTATTGGTTCATTTAATAAAATCGTTTTCAATGTTTCAAATGCAGTAATAAATTCTTTATTTTTAATTCAATGTTAATATTTTTTTTAATACATTGGTTAATGGTTTAGCAATTTTAGAATATTTTTTATAATTTTATGATAGTAGGCGGTAAATCCTAGAAATTGTTTGATTTCTTTTTGTGTATTTGGAATAGGGAAATTTTTAATTATTTCAATTTTTATTGGATTAGGCCTTATACCTTTTTCTGAGATAACATGGCCTAAATATAATAGTTCTTTTTTGAAGAAGACAGTTTTGTCAAGTTGAATTTTGAGTTTATGTTCCTTAAGTTTTTCGAATACTGCTCGTAAATGTTTTCAATGTTCCTCTAAGTCTAAGTCTGAAAAAAATATTATATCATCCATGTAAACTAAAACCTTAGGCATTTTAGCAAAAATTAAATTCATGGATCTTTGAAATGTTTATGGTGCATTTTTTTAATCCAAAAGGCATTCGTAAAAATTCATAATGTCCGTTTTCAGTTGAAAAGGCTGTTTTAGGTATAGAATATTTTTCCATTTCAATCTAGTGAAATTCAGAAGCTAAATCGATTGTCGAAAAATAACTTGCACTTCCAATTTTTCCAAAAAATTCCTGTAAAAAAAATCCTGGCAAAGGATATTTTTCTTCTATAGTTTTTTCGTTAAATTTGCAATAGTCAATAACAAGTCCTAATTTTTGTTTACCTAAACCATTATGTTTTTTAGGATGTATCGAAAAATAAAATACAAAAAAAAATTAGTTCGTAAAATAATTTTTACTTTTTATAAATAATAATATGTTTTTTTATTAACTCGAAGAGAGTTTAATATATAATTAAGTATTTAGTATTAGTTTTAATAATAAGCAATTGTTTATAATAAGTCCAGTTTTAAGTATTAATTGTAGATATTATTTTTAAGTCGGTGTAACAGAAAACAGCTGATTGGGAGGGGGAAAAAAAGACAGTCGAGTTGAGACCGACATGGCGGAACCTCGCGAGTGTTGAGCCGCGCTAAAGATTTGGTTGTGTGAAATACGTGAGTTTTACGGTGTACACCGGATTTTCTTGACTATTCATGGACCTGTGATTATCAGCGACGAGATTTTTGAGATTTTGTAAATATGTATATTTAAGTTTTTATTTCCTATCTATTTGTTTTCCTCTTAAATGGTTGTAATTGGTATATTGTACAGTTGTAAGTTAATGTTTAGTCCTATAATAATTTTGTAATATTTTCTTAGATAATTAAAGTTAATTATATTTTCTTTGTTTTCTTATAAATCTAATTTCTTGTTCGTAATTTTCATTTCCCTTAACAGTTATTTACATCCGACAAGTTTGTTGCAGAAACGATTTTTCCAAATTAAAGACCGTAACAAAATG